ACAGAGAACTCCCGGAGAAAGGGGACGGTTGGAGACTCTCCCGGAATCTCTCCCGGAGCGCCGGCTCAGCCGCGGAGACCGCGCTATCTTGAGTGGCTGTTATTGGAAGCGTATACATCCAAAGACACGGCATCCAGAGATCGGCTACTAACCCAGAAACAACGGATCTCAAGCAGCGCAGCTACGTGGACTTAGAGGAACCCTGCTTCTCCTCACAGAAAGGTCAGATTTCCCCTAAAGGTGCGGTTTGCAATTCAGGTTGGAGAAAGGAACGCGCACGGGGAAATCTGCACCCCACAAAGTCTGCGGCCGTTGGGGCCAGCGAGATCCGCGAGTGTGGAAGGGCTCCCACAGAGCTGCTGGCAGAAGGGAACGCTAAAAATAAGCCCATAGCTGGACTGGATGGAAAAAAGCAGCCTCGGATTTTGCCAGTGTGCCGGCTGCTTAGTGCCAGGGGAGAGAGGACACGCGGAAGAGACTGCGCACAGAGCTGGAAGGTGGAGGGTTGCGAATTCACGCAACTTCTCAGGCTCTTGTTTTTTCTCTTCCCCTTAAATCTTTGGGTTTGATTATTAAACCCAGTGCAACTTAACAATAGAAAGATAAACAATCCAATCAAAAAATGGGCAACGGACCTAGACAGACACTTTTCGAAAGAGGACATACAGAAGGCCGAAAGACATATGAAAACATGCTCAAAGTCACTAATTATACGAGAGATGAAAATCAAAACGACAATGCGGTATCATCTCACACCTGTCAGAATGGCTATCATCAACAAATCAACAAACAACAAGTGTTGGAGAGGATGTAGAGAAAAAGGAACCCTTCTGCACTGCTGGTGGGAATGCAGACTGGTGCAGCCACTGTGGAGAACAGTATGGAGCTTCCTCAAAAAACTAAAAATGGAACTCCCATTTGACCCAGTGATCCCACTTCTAGGAATATATCCCAAGAAGCCAGAAACACCAATCAGAAAGGATATATGCACCCCTATGTTCATAGCAGCACAATTCACCATAGCTAAGATTTAAAAACAGCCTAAGTGCCCATCAGCAGTTGAGTGGATCAAAAAACTGTGGTACATCTACACAATGGAATACTATGCTGCGGTAAAAAAGAAGGAACTCTTGCCTTTTGCAACAGCATGGATGAAACTGAAGAGCATTATGCTAAGTGAAATAAGCCAGTCAGAGAAAGATAAATACCACATGATCTCACTCATTTGTGGAATATAGAGAACATCATAGACTGATGAAAAGGGACAGACCCAAAGACTGAGAAACAGCGATCAGACTATCACTCCCCAGAGGGGAAGTAGGGGAGGGCGGGGGTAAGGGGAAGAGATCAACCAAGGACTTGTATACACGAATATAAGCCAAACCAATGGACATGGACAACAGGGGGATGAGAACATGAGTTGGGGGGGGGGGGGGAGGTGGGAGGGAGGATGGGGGTTAATGGGGGGGATGAGGACACATTTGTAATACCTTAACTAATGAAGAATTTAAAAAAAAAAAGACACCAAAATAAAGAATAAGCTTAAGAACAGTGAACAGAGCAGCTTACCTTATCTGAATGGGAAGTGCTCAGGTAGAAAAAGGAGTTAGCAAATGAGAAACGTAGGTGGTAGTAAAAGTGTGGAGAACATTCAGTAAAAATCAAAGGAATCTGAAGTTTATGCAGTGTATAATAAGGAGCCAGCAAAGGTTCATAAGCATTGAACAATATGGGGAAAGGATTTGAAAAAGATGAATGTACAGGGTAAACTAGAAATGAAGAAACCACTTAGAAAATTCCAGATATGAAATAAGATTCTCCAACCAAGATAATAACAATGGCAACAAATGAAAGAGACATTATAAAGGAAAAACAGATAAAAGCTAGGTAACAAAAACAAACAACAGCAACAAGAGATAAGTGTGGAAAAGAGAGCCAAAGAGCTGCAAAAAAGCCACCTTTCTCATTGTGTTGAGCGTCAGACCCATACTATCCTAACACCAATCTCCCCTTGTATCATTATAAATAACTAGAGGCATGATGCACAAAATTCATGCATGGGGCGGGGGGTTCCCTCAGCCCAGCCTGCACCCTCTCCAATCAGGGACCCCTCAGGGGATGTCCGACTGCCGGTTTAAGCCCTAAATCGGCACTCGGACATTCCTCTCACAATCTGGGACCGCTGACTCCTAACTGCTCACCTGCCTGATCACCCCTAACTGCCACCCCTACTGGCCTGGTCGTGTGCACCTCTCCCCTCCCCACCTTCCCCCCCCAACCTGGTTACCCCCAAATGCCCCCCCCCGACCACCCCTGCTGGCTTGGTTGCCCCACGCAGCCTGCTGTTTGGTTGTTATTGTTACTGTGACAGCATCCTGGACAACTTGCACATTCCTCTATTATTAGTATAGATTCCAGGTCTTAATGTTGACATTTTCCCCCATTAGTGTGTCAATATCACACATCAATTATGTTGTTTGCACCAGAGAAATTGAGACTGTGTTTATGAACATACTCAAATTAAAAGACAAACAACATCCCCCCAATTGAAAAAAGAATGAGTGGTCAAAAAATATAGTAAGAACTGTTTAAATCCTGTAGTTCGAAAAATTTTAATTATGTAAATAAAAAATAAGCCCCTCCATAGGAATGTATTTTTACATTTAAAATACTATTCATGTGAAAAGGAGTTTCTAAAGAGATGTTAGTACTATTCAATTTTATTGTAGCACTTAACTGAAGTGTTTAAAATAGTTTCATATTTCTAAAACTAGTTTAGTTAAAATACTAATTTAGAAATGTATTTTTAGCCAACTGTCAAAAATGCAAATCATTTTAACAGAAAAAATATACTATGTTTTAAAGTCTATCATTACCTTTAATTCATGATAATCTATTGCTTCATCTTTGTCCGTGTCAAATAGTTCAAAAGCATCTTTAATTTCTTGTTTCTGTTCTTCACTGAGTTCTCTTCTTTTTTTCCTCTTTGTTTTGTCTACAAGTTCACTTCTATAAAATGAAAACAGTCTATTTAGTCCACTTAATTCCTATTCTCCTATGCCTCAATAGTCTAGATGATTAAAATAAGATTTCAAAAATGCAACCATAAATCTTAGCCAGTGAATAACTTTCTAAATTTCTTAAAAGGATATATTTCGAGAAAAAAATTTTCCTTATATGAGTAAAAGCCCTACTTATTGCAGAGTTGAAGCTGCTATAAATTTGCACTTCCCAAAACTGAGAAATGTTACAGTTTAAAAAAAAAAAAAAATGAGGACCTAGCTTTGTATTTATTCCCACTAATATTACTGTGGAAGTAAGAACTGTGAATAAAAAACATTACTTCATGTCAGAAACCCCAACAAAAAACACAGCATCCATACTTATTATTCACATCAATCTACAAAACATTTTTTAAAAGAAAATTAAATTTGTAATTGACTGTCACTATGTATCTGATTTACTTTTGACAGTGTTTTATAAATAAGATATCAAAATTACTACCAAAAAGACCTAATTTTTCAATTAACTTACAAAGAACGTTCGCATTGTAGATTAGAAATGTTTTCAGATTACGTATTTCCAACAGGGTGGCACTTCATAATTTCTTTGGTTGGTATTAACAAATCAGCCAAAATACTGAGTCCAAACAGATCACGATTATCAAACGCCTAAAAAGTATCTATTTGTGCCAATTCTATATAATGTGAAGTCAATGGTCTTATAAATGTCAACATTTAAATTTACATTTAATTTCTCACAAACTCTGGGGGGAAAAATTTTTTAAAGAAATTTATTTTAAAGGCTAGAAATGTCTTCCTTAAGAGATGTTGACCCAAATGTTCCAAATGGGACTTCACACTTGTATAAGTGTTGGAACAGAAAATTGTATAAAACCTTAAAATGTAAAACCCAGTTGATTTTACTACAATAGGCTATCTATTTGCATTTGAAGTTTTGTCCTCTAAAAATCTACCCCCAAAAAAGCCGGGGGGGGGGGGGGGTAAGAGACGCTAGAAGTGACCGGGTAAAGCTGCCACCGTGCGTTCACCAGAGGCTTCGCCGAAGCCTGTCCATCCCGCGGTCAGTCCTTCCCTTCCCAGGGCTCCCAATGGCCCGGCCCAGAACCGACCCAACGGACCCTATCCAAGGCACCACATTACCCGTGAGCAGAACACAGCACCTCTTCCAAAGTGGGGTGACTACATCGTTATTTTTAAAAGTAGCATATCTAGATGAGGCTGGGGGAGGGGGCAGCACCCCTTCCAAAGTGGGGTGACTACATCGTTATTTTTAAAGTAACATCCAGATGAGGCTGGGGGACAGGGCAACCGAGGATTAGAGGTCCAACTCAATGTGGGGTCAAGAAACTCGAGAAATTTAGGTGATGCGGGTCTCCAGGCATACGGACCAGCAGGCCCCCAGGTGCGCGGCAAGGGGGAGTTTCGTGTTATTTCCAAAATTTACAGTAGCTACGTCATGAGCAGCGCGGCGCCGGTCGGGGCCGGAAACCGGGAAGGAGGAACTGAATCCAGGGATGCTCCACGGCCCGCTTTCCCGCGGAAACAACGCGGGAGAAACCTCGCGCGACTTCGCCGCCTCCGTGCAAAGAATACGGCCCATCCTTTCGGCGGCTCCAAGCCCCACGCGTGGACAGGTATGACTACCTCCGCACAAATGCACGGGGCGCGGCACCTGCGGCCCCCGGGGGCCCCCGGGGCGAGGGGTCCGGCCCGGAGGGTGGGCCGAGGTTCCTTTTCCTCGACCCAAAAGCATCCCTTCCTCGCCTCGGCCCCCAACGGCCTCCCGTCCACACCCGCCCTGGGGCCCGCTGCCGGGGTGTGGAGAGCATCGCCGCCGCCTCGTTACCGACCTCAGAGCTAAACTCATTTTCTCTCCGGACACAGACGTTCCTCTCAAGAACGACTTTAACCCCTACTCAAGGTAGCACGACTCCCACCAGCCGCTCAACAGACACTCACAGCCTCGGCGGCCTCGAGGACCGCCCTCGAGACGGCCGCTTCTGGGCTAAGATTGGTTGACATGGCGACTGTGCCGCCGCTGTGGCGGAAGCGTCTCCAGGCTTCTTCTCTCATTGGGCGTACTTCGCGTCGATCAAAGAAACCTCTCTGCCGGTACATTGGCCCGCAGTGTTTTCCCCGAATCCTTTGCGGAGCAGAGTCTGCGTCCTCGCGTGGCTATGGGCGGGGGGCGGGCCTCCCCTCGCGGGAGGAAGCTCGGGCCTCTGGGCGAGTGTGGGGCGGCCGGGCCCACGCTCAGGGCGAAGGGGAGGGCGGCTGAGGAAAGAGCCTGCGGAATTCACTTCCACCTCCACACTGGCCCAGTGACTGAGGCAGGTGCGGGGGTTGCATGTATTTGGATAATCAGCGGTTGCATTATCAGCCTATTAGGGACGCTGGACCCAACCCGCCCTTGTCGCCTCTCCCCCTCGGCAGGGATTTGTTCGCTCTGGTCCTCTGTTCCAGTGCTGTCAGCTGCTTGTACGCATGGTGTGCCGGGGGCCTCGCCCCCCATCCATCTTCCAGGCCTCCACGACCAAGCCAAGGTTTGTGGAGCTCTCTTGGTATTTAATGTGTCTACTTGTTTATCTCTCCTTCCAGACAGTAAGGCTGGCGTCCTTAAAAGCAGAGGTACAGATTGACAGATTTTACCGTATGAAACTGAGGCATTTCTGTATGGCAAAGACTACAGTAAGCGAAGTAAACAAGCACACAAATCAAAAGCATGGGACTGGAGATAACTATGTTACATGATGAGAGGATCTTCTGTTTGTGATGGATAACTGTCTCTTCACATACTTCCAGACAACACCGCACAAATGACTTTCTGGTCCCAAGAGAGAAAATGTAACTTTACCAGTATAATCTGATGGTATAAATTAGCGTTGCTAGTTAGGGAATTACCAGAGATTATCTGTCTGCTGATGTAATTCAGTATGAAGCACACAACCTACATCATTTAACCAAGAATGTGTAACTTGAACTTAAACAATAATACCTAATTTGCCTTTTATAGGAAATGTAGGAGACAAAGAAAACACTTAAAAAAAAAAAAAAAAAGACACCACAAGGAAACAATCACACAAATCCAGAAAGTAACACATTCTATAGGAGATAATTGTCCATTCTCTACAATAAGTCAGTGCGTGAATAAAGAGACTGGACTAGATTAAAAAGGACTTAAAAGATGGTACAGCCAGATAGATGCCTATGACTTAGGAGATAAAGAAACCACTTCAAAACAAAACAAACAAACAAAAACACCACAAGGCCCCCATGCCCATTCCTGGGCCCAGACATCAAACCCAGAATTCAATCATCTATTGAGGTCCCAGACCTGCTTCCAAGGCCCAGAAATCCCTGTGAGGTCCAGACCTCCATCCCAGGACCCAGACCAACATCCGGGTCCCAGAATTTCATGACACAGCCCAGATATCCATTCTGGAGCCCAAGCCTCAAACCCAGAATCCAGCCTTCTATCGGGGCCCAGCCCTCCATCCATGGCCCAGACCTCCATTCCATGACCAAGAGATCCAGCCTATGACCCGGATGTCCAGCCTGCGACCCAGACCTCCACCCAGGACCCAGATGTCCATGTCACGACCCAACACACCATCCGGGACTCAGCCTTCCATCCCTGGCCCAGATCTCCATCCAGAGCTTAGACCTTCATGCCAGGGGCCAGAACTCGATCCAGGGACCCTAACCCCAAACCCAAAATCCAGTCCTGTATTGTATGCCCAGATCTACAACCAGAGCCCATACCTCCTTCATAGGCTCAAGCCTACATCTGGGTCCGAGACTTTCAGGCCAAGCCCAGAAGTCCATCCTGGAGTTCAGACGACCAACCCAGAATCCAGTCCTGTATCAGAGGCCCAGACCTCCATCCATGGTCCAGACTTCCATTCAATGACACAGAGGGCCCAGCATACGAACCAGACCTCCACCTGGGGCCCAGATGTCCAACCCACAACCGAGCCCTCTCTCTGAGACACAACCTTCCATTCAAGGCACAGACATGCATGCCAGGACCCAGACCTCCATTAGGGGCCTAGACCTTCATGCCAGGGCCCAGAACTCGATCCAGAGACCCTATCCTTGAATCCAGAATCCAATCCTGTATTGGGTGCCCAGACTTCCATCCAGGACTCTGACCTACATCCGGGTCCCAGACATTCATGCCAAAACCCAGATGTCCATTCAGGGGGCCCAGGCCTCTAACCCACAAACCAGTCCTACATCCAGGGCCCAGACCTCCATCCGGGGTTCTGACATCCGGGTCCCAGACATTCATGCCAAGGCCCAGATGTCCATTCTGGATCCCAGATTTCAAACCCATAATCCAGTCCTATATCGGGTGCCTAAACTTCCATCCGGGACTCATTCCTCCATCAGTGGCTCAGGCCAACAACCAGGTTCCAGACCGTAAGGCTGGTCCAGAAGTCCATACCAGGGCTCAGCCCTCAAACCCAAAATCTAGTCCTGTATCAGGGGTCCCACACCTCCATCCGGGGCCCATACCTCCATCAGGTGCTCAGACCTACATCCTGGTCCCAGACATTAATGCCAAAGGCCCAGATTTCCATTCCAGGGCCGAAATATCGAACACAGAATCCACTTCTGTATCATGGGCCAGCCCTCCATCCATGACCCAGACTTCCATTCCATAACCCAAAGGTCCAGCCTATGACCCTGATGTTCAGTCTATGACCCAGACTCCACCCAGGGTCCAGATGTCCATCCCGCGACCCAATCCTCCCTCCAGGACACAGCCTTCCATCGCCGGCCCAGACCTCCATCCCAGGGCCCAGAACTCCATCCAGGACCTACCTTCAGCCAGTGCCCAGAACTCGATATGGGTACCCTATCCTCAAACCCAGAATCCAGTCCTGTATCAGGAGCCCCTCAGGCCTACATCCGGGTCCCAGACATTCAGACCGCGCCAAGAAGTACATCCCGAGGCTCAGACATGGAACCCAGAATCCAGTCCTGTATCAGGTGCCCGGACCTCCATCCGGGGCTCTGATCAACTTGCGGGCCCCAGATTTTCAGCAAGGCGCCAGAAGTCCATCCCGCAGCTCAGACCTCGAAGCCAGAATCCAGTCCTGTATCAGGTACCCAGACCTCTATCCGGGGGCCATACCTCCATCCTGGGCTCTGACCAACTTCTGGGCCCCAGACTTAAACCAAGTCGCCAGAAGTCCATCCTGCAGCTCACATCTCGAACACAGAATCCAGAACTGTATCGGTTGCCCAGACCTCTATCTGGAGCCCATTCCTCCATCCGGGGCTCTGACCTACATCCGGTGCCAGACTTTCAGCCCGGGCCAAGAAGTACATCCCAGGGCTGAGACCTCGAACCCAGAATCCAGTCCTTAAACAGGTACCCAGACCTCTGTCTGGAACCCACACCTCCATCAGGTGCTCAGGCCTACATCCGGGTCCCAGACATTCAGACCGTGCCAAGAAGTACATCCTGAGGCTCAGACATGGAACCCAGAATCGAGTCCTGTATCAGGGGCCCGGACATCCATCCGGTGTTCTGACCAACATTCGTGTCCCAGACATTCATGCCAAGGACCAGATATCCATTGCGGGGTCCAGACCGTGGACCCATAATTCAGTCCTTTATCAGGTGCCCAAACCTCCAACAGGGGCCCATTCCCCCATCAGTTGTTCACACCTACATCCGGGTCCCAGACCTTCAGCCTTGCACCAGAAGTCCATCCTGGAGCACAGACCTCAAACCCAAAATCCAGGACTGTATCAGTGGCCAGGACCTCCATCCGGGTTTCTGACAAACTTCAAAGTCCCAGACTTTCAGCAAGTCACCAGAAGTCATTCCCGCAGCTCAGACCTCGAAGCCAGAATCCAGTCCTGTATCATGTACCCAGACCTCTATCCCGGGTCCATACCTCCAGCCGGGACTCTGACCTACATCCGGGTCCCAGACCTTCAGGCTGGGCAAAGAAGTACATCCCAGGGCTGAGACCTTGGGCAAACAGAAGGCAGGAGAGTATTCAAACTGCAATCCAGTTCTGATACCTGGGAAGGGAGAGCAGGAAGGAAAGAGGACTGGGCAGGAAAAGCTCAGAGTGGAATGCATGCAATTGTGAGAAAATCTTAGACCAAGGAGGATCCCCAGAATAAAAATTGCCCTGTTGAGGAGTCCTATCCTGGGCAGGAATAGCCAAGCTTTAGTGTCTAAACTGTACTTGGTCACTGGCTGGGTGCAACCCAAGGTAAGTGGGACCTTAGCGTGAGCAGGTTTGAAGGTGTGGCAGCTGGAAGGTGTTAGCTATGCTCCTCACAGTTGTTTCTCTTAAAGCAGCGGTTCTCAACCTGTGGGTCGCGACCCCTTTGGCGGTCAAACGACCCTTTCACAGGGGTCGCCTAAGACCATCCTGCATATCAGATATTTACATTACGATTCATAACAATAGCAACATTACAGTTATGAAGTAGCAACGAAAATAATTTTACGGTTGGGTCATAAAATTTTATTTCAAGTGTAATGGAAATCCATCAGCAGGTTTTAAGCTGTGAATTATTATGATCTGATTTAGGTTTTAGAGCCAAACTTCCTGAAACAATCTATATTTACAGCATCCCTTTCCGAATATCTTATTTTCTCCCAACCCACAGCAAATCTGACTTACATCCTTACCCCTCTACTGGAAGTGCTTTTATTAAGTCACCAAAGACTTCTTAATTGCTGTGTTCAATTGTATCTTGGCAGTTACCATCCTACTTGTCTCCTGGGTCACCTCTGCATGTTGACTATTCATTTCTTAAAACTGCTCATGGCTGCTTTTTACTACTCCTTCCTAGTTTCCTATGCTGGCTTTTCTTCCTCCACTCTCTAAATGTGTGTTTATTTATTTGTTTGTTAGTTTTTAATTATGTCCTTAATACTTTCATACTATCCCTAGGCCTTTTCATCTTCAAACTTCTAAATTTTTCTCCTCTACTTTCAGTGTTCAAACCTAGATTTCCATCTTAATAGAAACTAATATACCAAAATAAAATTATTATCTTCTTCTGAAAGACTCCTTATGCTTAGAGATATCTTAGATAATGGCATCACCAATTATATAACTTCTTGAAATAACATTTAACTCCTCACTACTGTCAAAGTATAGTTTTCAAATTTAAAGATATGACTATTATAAAAATATAGAATAAATGTGTTTCAAAGATCTATATAACTTTTTAGTGAGGAAACCAGCAAGATGATAAAGCTGGTTCATAGAAAAATTAGAGAAACTGAGAATCCATAGCCAGTCACAAAAGGCAAGCTAAAGTAAATTTTCTTTTAAGCTAAAGTTACAATGTCCTATAGATGAATGTCCTATAGGTCAAAATAAACTATAGCCTTTGGAGTTAAATTCTCCACCAGACGTTGCATCTATATGGCCAAAATCTACAAGTTAATATTTTATACAGTCTTAGCCCTAATCAATAACAAATCAAACAAATGTAAGCCTGCTAGTGAATTAAATAAGCATTGGGTAGATCTATTAAGCCGTGTTCCATAATGACATACAGCTACCCTTTGGTGTTATTTCCAAGTTTGGCATATTTTTTCTTACACTTTTCCTTGATCCCACATCACCATCAAGTGGTGATAGAGCTATATTCTAAAGACAAATCTGCCTGACTCCAATGCCTATGTTTTTCCCCATGAAAAATGTGTTTGGAAAATTCAAGTAGTGCACAAAAGATGAGTAGGAATAAGTATTGAGATAAGGCTTCTGGTTTTTAAAAGTAGTAAATAACAATAATGAAAAGAATATGGCTTTGGAAAATCAATAGAGTAGACCTACTCATAAAGTCAATTAATTCACTAATATAATTCAATAGGAAATAGAGAGTTTTTCCTATATTTACTGCTTCATAATTGCCTTCATTTCAAAATTTTTATGTCAAATAGGCATATTTTGAGGTAGCATATTCTGCTACCATACAGGTGGTAATATCTCCTTAGGGCCCTGAGATTCCACACCTCCTATGGAAAACAGCTACAGAAGGATCAGAGTTGCTTCCAAAGCATGGGGTCCAGAACTAAGGGCAAT